TGGAGGGTTGAGAGTTGGCTTACAGGACAGTAAGTGGTGTAGTCGGTGGTGATGACCGTGGTGTAGACGGTGTGCTCTTCCGGCTTAGGAGCCTCCCAGTGATGCTCCTCCTCCTTGTGCTCCTCCTTGTGCTCCTCCTCCTTCTTGGGAGCCTCCTTGTGCTCTTCCTCCTTCTTGGGAGCCTCCCACTGAGGCTTCTCCTCCTTGTGCTCCTCCTCCTTCTTGGGAGCCTCCCACTGAGGCTTCTTCTCTTCCTTGTGCTCCTCCTTCTTAGGCTCAGGGTTGTAGACATCCTTGTGCTCGTCCTTGTGCTCATCCTTGTGGTCATCCCACTTGTTCTCATCCTTATGCTCCTCCTTCTTGGGCTCAGGGTTGTAGACGTCCTTGTGCTCCTCCTTCTTGGGCTCAGGGTTATAGACGTCCTTGTGATCCTCCTTTCGGAAGTCATCCTTGTGGTCATCCTTGTGATCATCCTTGTGACCAAAGTTGTCCCCAACATTGTAAGCATCCTTGTGATCGCCCTTGGACTCATCCTTTCGGAAGTCATCCTTGTGCTCATCCTTGGGCTGGTCGTGATACTCGGGGCCCTTGTTGTTGCCCCTGTGGTCATCGCCCCTGTGGTCTTCGACCTTGTTGATGGGCTCAAACTTGGGAGCCTCAAACTTGGGCTCGGGACGGTCGTACTGATCGACCTTCTTGTCCTCGGGCTTGTTGTAGTTGCTGTTCAAGTCCGTGACAGCGGCCGCAGAGGCCAGCGCCGCGGTGGACGCTAAGAGATGTAAGAAACGCATTGTTGAAAAAGACCGTCCGATGACGAGAGGAAAATTGTCAAGCGAGTGTCTGAGACTTGTAGCGACTGTGGTTGAGATTGGAAAGAGAATTCCGATAGATGGCGGGATCGAGGGGCCTCTTTGTAGTTGAGACAGCGGCCCGGTAAAACGACAAGTATCACGACTGCTTTTCATGGCAGAAGACGTGCTTGCTACATTGTGCCGCATATGGAGAGGCTCTATGGAGACGATGGATGGCTTGGAGAAGGCATCGCCGGATTTGGGATGAGCGGCTTGGGAGTTCTAGTCCATGGCACTTGGGTGGCTTCTCATGGGAATGGTGTTGGAGGGATGGACATGACTGTTCGTTCAGATCAGATAACCTAAATCTTTTGAAATGTGGATTGCTTTGGACAAACTCTACCAGGATCGATACGTGACGGAAGCGGTAAGGGGGCAACGTTGTATAGACTTGTTCGGATGGTGCCGAAGTACATGTAGCTTGAGCCTTCATTTCTCGAGAGCACTTGTGGGGAGCTGGAGACTTAAGGTTACTGGGCCGCTAACGGCGTATTTGCACGAAAGCGTCGAGAAGCCGGGATTTGAGGAGACTGATATCGTGATGCTCAATGTCCGGGACTGTTGGTGGAGCTTACTTGCAACACCTCATCATACTACCTTGGGAGAAAAGATATGTTCTCAAGGTTTAGGTGGAATTCCAACAAAGTCCAACGACTACCGATGGCTTCCTTAACAAGCTACCATGCTACCAGAATGGTTTAAAGGGGTGAAAATAGTAGCTGGGATTCTGGCTACCAACCCCTGTAGATCTCTCCATCGAGGGCTGTACCGAAAGCCATTGTACGCGTGGAACCGTGATCAACAACTCCACCAAGAGCTGGGGACGACAAGTAGTAGTACTATATTCGAAGCAGCCTACGAAGACCAGTATATGTCAAGCCTTGGGGACGAGCTTTGACCACCGTTGTCGACAAAACGACCCTGTAGAGCAGCGGTAACAGGGAGTGACCTTGAAGGCGTCAGAGGTCTGCCCCAATAATATCGATGCGTATCAGAAATCGTGCAACCGCTCCAGATAGCTTTCCGAAAGCGACCTGCTCTCCTCATGTACCGAGTCAAACTCTGGCAGTGCTTAAGAGAGGAAAAGCTCGATCTGAATTCCATCTGCGAGTTTGACTCGACCAATCGAGGAGCCAGTCGACATGGCGTTTCTCTGCTCGCCCCTGTCGATCGCCTCATCCTCAGATCTACATGTTTGAAAGCGGCCTGGGATCACAGCGGGCTGCATTTGTTTCCATTTTTACCCTTTGGTACGATCGGCGTTATAGAGCCTTATAAAGATGCGGGAAAAGCCACTTATATGATTCCGGCTGGCAGTCGGGAGGAGAGGCGACTGGAATGCGGATAGTTGGCGACGCAACCAATCGCGGAGATGCTAAGCCGAAAGCAACTCACAGATGATTGATTTTCTCTGCAGACTTCAAGATCTCACCCATTCTTGAGGCCGAAAATAGTTTTCATCGAGTTGGTTGAGCGCTTAGGAGAGAGTTGCCGCTTTCATGTCCACCCGCGTCTGTAGAAGTCAGGGGATACGATCGACAGGGGGCTTTGCTCGTCGGATGATGCCCCAAGGTAGCAGATGAGTCAGTTACACTCTACCTGTAGAGAGCTTCAATGGCATAGACCGCAGTGCTTGCATGACATCTGTGTTCAAGGCTACAGAATATGGTGCAAGAAGATGAGGCAGCCCAGAGATGCAGCCAAGCAGTCTTGGCCCTTACAGATAGTACCATGCTTTGAGTTAGTGCACTGTGTAGCGGTGCGTGTTAAGCGTGCTGTCATACAGTGCTGCGTGCACGTTACCGCGATGCCCCCAAGCTTATGCAGGTCCAATGCGAGACCACGTGCCTCTGCTTGGTCCTTTCCCCCAGCCGAGCAGCATCGACCTGCATCGACCTGCATCACCACTTTGGCACTCTGGCTCCTTTCTGTCTCATCACGGTTACCCATTATCTAGATTGTTGCACCACCGGAATCCTTACCTGAGTCGGCATCCTTTCGAAGACAGCCTTGCCGTCCAGCGGTCTGAGATGACGACCCGGTGCGTCTCGGAGGCCGGATGAGGCTCGACTCCAACGCGCTTCTCCAATATCGCCTCTGTCGAGCTCAACGGCTGCTGATACTGGCTACAGGCTCATGGTGTTTCCTCCAATTCAAGGAGAATAAAACGCCTACAAAGTGCGTGCTGCGTAGCATGAGGCCTCTCAGACGGCCTCGCACAATATGCACCATGGATGCCGCTTGTCACACACATGTCTCCTCTCGACATACTACTACTACTACTATTCCTCCGACCGGTTTGCCAGTCACAGTCTCCTTCTGGGTCCACGCATAGACGCACATGCAGCAACTTGCAGCATACTTGCTCACCGGCTGTTCATAATGGCGCTGTGTATCCATTCGCATGCCAATTCTCCCATGTACGGCTCTCGCACGAGGTGACTTGCAAGTTCCATCTACTACCCACCTTCATCAAGCCCTCCAACGCACCAAACTATCGTTTCACTGCTCATGCTCATCGCACTAGTCGCTGCTCTCCTCTTTTCTCGCTGTTCCCTCCGACTGTCAAAGCCTAGAGACGCGCCGGTGAACGCACTACGCCCAGCGAGGACCGAGAGCCGCGGAGCAATGGTTCACCAGTCTGGTCATGGCAAAAATTCGGGCTTTGCTACTCGCCACTGTGCGGGCTTTCCGTATAGTAGGCTGAACCGTTCGCGAACTGTTCCGTTACGGCATCGAATGGAGGAAAATTTTGTACGGTCTTGCTTCGTGTCTTTCGGATTGCCCCTTGCGGTAGCCAAGTTGCCCCTCTACCGTTTTGGTCCGCCTCTGGCTTGACGAAAACGTCAGAACTGGGCCCTGGACCGTCGAACACGAGAGAGGCAAGTCCTACATTTACCTCATCTGGTACTGTTCAGGTCCATCTCTGGCGGATGAAGGCTGGATCATCCTCCTGGTGCTGGTGGAGGCGGAAGACTTTTCGCTCTTCACGTTTGTCTGGTAAGCGGAAGAGTTTTTTCTCTCTTCACATTTGTCAGGTAAACGAGAAAATGTCCGCGACGACCTCAGGGGAAATTCCTTACTGTGTGAAGGTCATCATCATGATGGCTCGTCACAGCTTCCAGTTTCTGACCCCCAACGAGGCGCGAAGGCCGCTGCCAACATAGCCATTTGTCTGTTGCCACGCAAATCTTGGCTGCTCGAGGGTCATTTAGCCGTTGTCGAGCTGCGTTGTTGCTGGATGACTGCTCTTGAAGCCCGTCCAAGGCGTTGGGCAGACCGACATTGGGTCGCCAGCATCTCCCCGAGGTTGCCTGTATTGCCGAAGGATCGCAATTCTTCCAACACGGTGCGCTTCTGGTCTCTTTGTCCAGCCAGGCCCCACTGTCAACGTGAAAGTCGAAAAGGTTGCATAATGAGGCACTTTATGAAGCTGTCGAATCAGCTTTGCAGCCTGTGAGGGCCGCAATAGCCAACAATGTGCTCTTATTGATGGCGAATTAGTAACTGAACTCGGGCGTGGCTTGCATTGTTGCATTGAGGGCAGTTGCATGCTGCCTATTATCGGTCATCGCCCAATACAGTTCCTTTCGAGGTCTTCAGATGGTGCAATACTTGATACGTACGCTCAAGGCTCCTCTTTCGAATGGATATCGGCGTTGAGATCGTGACAATGGGCCCATGCACGGAGCAGCATCGCGATACGATGGAGGCGGAAGGCAGCGGAAGGGAAACGCATGGAATCTCTCCACTGCTGATGGAGGAGATGGAGCCTTGAGGAGTTCTCGGGTTCCACCTGTTCTTGTCGTCGCCGGCTCACTCATGAGAAGCTGCGCAAGCAGGTTTGCAGCGGGTTGCACCATCCTGGAGCCCTGCACTCTCGGTGACAGGGATGGCCTTGTTTCCCCTGACGGGTCGTACCAGAGCGACGCCCCAGAGCCTGATACCCTTGGGGCCCTGCAAAGCGCAAAGGCAAAAACCTGAACACAAGCTCAGCCCTCTGCAGCGGGGATGAGGAGAATTTTTCGATGGTGCCCAATCCACTGGGTTTAGTTGCGGGCTATTGGTGCAGGGACAAGCATTTCCGAGGCCGTGCAGACTACGATCTTGATCGATTCTGGTCATCATGATGATGATGATCAGTTGTTCTTACCTCAGTCAGACATACAACTGATCACACAGCCGTCTCTGCCGCTGAGGCGAGCATTAACATCAGACAGACCTCACGCCGCGCCAACTCTTGCCAAGGGAGGCTGTACATCGTTCTGCGACTGGCTTGACACTGGCTTCCTCCCCGGAGGCAACGGCGAGAGGCACAGCAGAAATCTCACGATCCACCCGCCGGTCCGGCCTGTCAGGGCAGGCCACATGGAGTCCTGCCAGGCACCGACCAATGGAGTTGCGGCACCGGATCCCGGCCGTTACGCAGCTAGAGGAGACGGTTCCTCAAGCCATCGGGCACCCTCTGGGCCAATTGCAAGCCTTGGAATGGGTCTGGTGGCTGTCGATGGGGGGTACGGCGTCTGGAGGTATCAGACGCCGCCGCTCGGGGTGAAGTAAACACCAAGGAGAATAAGCAATGGACATTATTGACGAGTACTCTTATAGCATCTGCGAGCGCCGAAGCTTGAATGGCCCTGACGGCTTTGGGTGCTGGATCCGGACCAGGAACCCGTCCCTCCCAGCCAGTGACTTACACAGTGCCGCTGCATGGGAAGCGTGCGCCTGTCGTGCCCACCATCTTTGTCTGCCGCGTGCTGACAAGCTCTGATACGCCAAGCTGATGAGGGGAGGCAACTCAACGCGAGCTTCTGCTCTCATTGGAGTGCCTTGAGTTGTTTACCCAGACATTTACACTTTGCGCAGGGCGTCAACAACACCTGGGGCAATGGGGGGGTAATGGATGACGAGGCCAGAGGGGAAACACCCGCAGCGGCAACTGTAACCCTCACGAGCGTCTGCTTTTCCCACACGATCCGAAATGCGCCCATTCTTGGGGCCGTCTTCACCATTGTGGGATCTTTGACATAGCGGCAAATGGACGCGATTCGTTGCAAAAGGGCGCCAGCACACGACCAGCCTCGGCGACCAGTCTCATTAGCCGCATCTCGACGTCCCTTCTCATTCTCGCCGGTCTTTATGTCTCTTTTTGAAAAGGTCCACCCGACTCCTAAGCGTGCCACGCAATGGGATCCCGAAGCTCAGTCTTTACGAGTCCATGCACCTCCGGAGTGGCGTTGAACAGGGGTTTCAAACGGGCTTGGGTTCCGGGCTCCAACGCTCCTACTAGCAGCCGTCCACACCACTCGCCAGGCACACTCAGATGGTGCCTGCATTAGACTCTGTCCTCCATGCACATGGGAAGTCTTTTCAGGGCCAGGCATGCAGGCACTAAAATAACTTCTAGCCCGGCTGAGTTGACCCACGTTAGCCGCCTACGGGGGGGAGGAAACAAAGAGGAGACGGACAAGTTCAATGGTTCCTCTCCTCCCCACCAGACTTGTTTGTTCTTTGCCACGCGGACAACTTTGCTGGGCGACGAGCCCTATGGTTGGAGTGATTATAAAGAGGACGGTTTCCTCCCTTCTTGTTTCATGAGATCCTTTCGAGCCATCAGCATCACTGTCCCTTTCACTTGTCTACGGACCATCATTCATTCTTCTGCACTTTGCACCTTTTCACTCCTTCTGGAAAGCAAAGCATAACGGCAAGGCCCGTCAACTTATACACAACACTCCTTCTTTAGCTTATCAAGCAAAAAAGAACCCCAAGCAAACCTTCAAAATGCGTTTCGCTGCCTCCGTCGCTACCCTCATTGCCTCCGCGGCTCTCTCTTCCGCCGCCAGCGTCACCTTCTGGACCCTGGACAACGCTCAGCGCACCATCTACTTCACCTCCAACCCTGGCAGCTCCAACATCGACTCTGTCAAGGTCAGCGGCGACAAGAACACCACTGTCACCTTCCCTGATACCTGGCAAGGCAACTTCTACGCCGTCAAGGATGGCTCCGCCAACGTCCCCGGCATGCTGGGCGAGATCAACTTCGGCAGCTGGCACGGTCTGACCTACTTTGACGTCTCCGCCATTGTCGACCCCAACGACAAGGACAACGTCAAGCAGATGTTCCCTGCCAAGTCCCTGGAGCCCATGTCTGGCTGCGTCAACTTCCCTTGCAACAACGCCTACTACCTGCCTGATGACATCCAGACCAAGGCTACCCAGGAGCAGGAGCTTGTCTGCACCCTTGGCTCTGGCTCCGTCGGCCACACCTTCACCGAGGAGCAGTAAATGGCTGCAGGGAAGATTTTCCTTTTCTTTTCTTTGGTTTTGACTTTGGGACGGCCATGAGCCTCCCTTGGTGCTGAGCGCCAGGTCAACTCACGACGCTACGACGAAATGCAAAACTTTCAATGATACCTCTTCATCTGGTCCAAGATGACTGGAGACTTATGGGTAAAAAGGGTTACTGGGAACAAGGTTTTGCATTGGGAAAACAAAAGGGACAAACTGGTTGCGAGCACAACCATTCACTTCTTACAGACTTGGTCTCTTCTTTTCGTCTTCGACGAGAGGGGAATCCAGAGGCTGGCACTCATTCAACTACTTTTACCGCCGACCGAGGCGCTTCACACACTCCTTTGACTGGACATTTTACAACTTATTTTCTTTTCCATTCATGAATACCCCTTTTTCTATTTCATGTACATATTAGACTTTTTTCAAACACAGACTTTGGATAGAGAGAACTTAGAAATGGATTATGGCATTTGGGTTGAAATCAATTACTTGTTGGCTTCTATGCTTTGTTGGCTCTCGTGACTTGTTCCTGTTGGCTTCTTTGACTTGTTCAGCTTTTTTCCCTTCCATGACTCGGGACAGTGCAATTCTCACGAGGCAATTTCTCACACTTGACAGATTTTTTGTCTTCTATTTTCTTTTCTCCTCCGGTCCATTCATGACATATCATGACCCAATTAGCCTCATTGTTGGAGAAGAATAGAAGAAAGTCCGTTTTAGTGCAAGCCACATCGACACTTTAAGTCGGGAAATGTTTCGTTTCTACCTAGTTTTCTCTAGATGTGGCTTCACAAACTAGTATCGAGAGTACTTGATCACTTTTAAAGCAGAGCTGCCAAACGCCAATGACTAGCATCTTTCGTGCAAAAACCGATTTATTAGCAGTATGATCACGGAGTGAGTTGCCAAAAGGGGAATGCCGCTGCTGTTGGCTAGAAGAACGAATGGCAAGTTCAAAAGGTCCAAAGAAAGAGGGGGGGGTTTGTTTCGAACCGTCTCGGTGGTTTATGGTTTGCCAAAGCGCATTCTGTTTTGCCTCTGCGTATGACCTTTGTAGTAAAGACTTTTGTGAGTTTTGGTAAACGACATACATATGTGTGATCTGACAAAGACAAATGATATCTCATCATCTTCATGCTCGGAAGGAGTACTTTAGTCCACACATGACCCAACTCAATCTACTAAAAAAGAACCCCTTCTAGAAAACGAAGAAAAAAAAATTGAATCAGTGGCGTTTATCTTTCAGATCACCGTTTCGAAGAGAAAAAAGAAAAAGTTGGTTGACAAGCGCCACCAGTGGAGAAGGACGTCCGGAACATAGCCTACAGTATACAGTACGGAAGATCTTCTTTCAGGAAGGAAAAGAAAAAAAAAATTGAGCTCAAAAAAGGGACAATCTTATTGTTTCAATGAGGCAACAACTTCACACGTGGAGATGACCCAAGAGGCGGCAAGGTTTTGCACTTTATGTCGGCTGCTCGCGCTACTCCAACTCGCAAAACAAAAGGGAGCAACTGAATTGTGTGAATGAATTAGGACTGTGGGAATGACTAGTTGGTTGGGCCTCTAGAAGCGCAGAAGCGCCGTAGAACGTCCGTTTGTCAGTCGTCGTTCAGGGAATGAGTAGCCTCGGTTGGCCGTCTCCAATGTTCTTTTGTTGGTTGATGAGGGATAAGAGGTAGGTTGCAGGTAGTATTGTGGAAAGGCGGGCCTTGACACTATTCAGTATCGCCCACATTGTCATATGTACAGGACACGGACAGAGAGACATCGTGAGTCGGTCCTCGGCCCTCTCATAACAGTAGTATACAAATTCAGCAGGTTGAACTCAAAAAGCAGCCGCAAAACTCCCATCTATTGATCCCGCGTCTGTCGTGAAAGCAAAAGCCATCCGTAGATGGTGTATCGAACCGAAAGTGATCTCTCACTCCTGGGGCGTCTCCTCTGAGGATGTCTTCTTCTCCGATTCCACGTCTGCAGGCTTGGATTCGTCTGTTCCATTAGTTGCTGTTGTGATTGTGCTTGCAGGTGCAGGTGCAGGTGAAGGTGCCGTGGGGGCATCTGGCTCAACCTTCTTTGACTTGACAATGTTGGTGAGATATTCGCCAGCATCGCCAAACCCGTCAACCTTTTGCAGCTTGTTAATGAAGACGTCGACATCTTGGAACATCCTACGAACACCATGTTAGAAACACCAACTCCAAAAAAAGCATGCTCAATCGAGCCACTTACCGTCGTTGACCAGCCTGCGTTGATACGGCTGCTTGCCGCAGGGCGTCTCCCAGCTGGTTCTTGTAGCTTGCAAATACCGGCACCATGATGACCTGGATTGACGTTTCGGGAAGGTGTTTGGTCAAGACCCGGTGGAGCGTCGTGGTCTCCTTGACAAGCATCTCAATGTACGGATGAGGTCCCTCGGAGGTGTCAGAGTCCCAGTTAATGGCTCGAATGCTCTTTGCATGATTGACGGCGCGGCCACTCATAATTTCGATCAATTTTTGATGAATGTTGTCCTGGTGCTCTTGGAGTAACCGGCGGACCTTGTCAAACTCTCCCATGAGGCTGGACACATTGGCCCCTGAGCCTGCCTGTCGGCGAACGTACTCTCTCACATGGGGGATCAAGGTAGCTATGAATGCTAGCGCCTGAGACGCAAGGGCCAAATGCCTCGTCGTAATATTCTTCAGGCCAGCCGACCGAGTGGCACCCGCTCCCAGGATGAGCTGAAAGCTCCGAGAGTTGAAGAGTTGTAGGTATGCCACTAGGGATGTTGCAATGTCTGTCGTCATGGATGGGATTCCGGCAATCAGCTTCAAGAAGTCTCCCATGCCGTCAAGACACAACACCGCAGAGTTCGGAAGCACAAATTTCTCGGACTCGATGACCGCATTTCGAACTTTTTCTTTGCTGGCACCATTTGTTTCCGACGTGCCACCGTCTGAGCTCAGCTTCTTGGGAGTTTCATAAGGAATCCATATCCTACTGCTCGCCGTCCAAGCTTCAATGTCGTGTGTGCTGCACTCTAGAATCTGGTTCAAAAGTAGAGTGTTGTCGTCTGTGAAGTCCTTGGCGCCCCATTGGTCGGATTCCATCCCCTGCGCAAGCTTCTGCATTTCGGCGTCGCGATACTTTTGCACAAACTCCTTGATGTGGCTGTTGACCACCGTCTTCAGGGCGGAGCAGCTCCTCCCGGATATGGCTTCGCATTCGTAGGTAAAGTAGAGATTGAGGTTGAAATATCGCAGAAATAGGTCGAGGGGGAGGTGGATTGCCTGTTCCGAGCGCACCTTGAGGATCTTGACAATCTTCTCGTTGGCCAGATCCACGGCTTGAGCCAGCAGGTTTCCCAAGTCGATGGCTTTATGAAGCTCTTCCTGGATGGCAAACGCCGACGGCTGCGGCATGCTCATTTGCCGATCAGACCGAGGGCTAGGCAAGGGAGACCGGACCGGCGGAGACTTGAGCCCATCGCTATTGGGCTGATCTGATAGAGAACTCGCAATATCTAGCAAGACTTTGACTTGAGTCGACACGCGCCTCAACGTCTCCGTCACACTAATGTATATCTTGGTAAGAAGCGCCTCTGCATCTTCGGGATCCAGCGCTCGCAGGTTACGGGCCAGATTCGCAGACTTCTCCTGGCTTGACAAGTGTCTGCCCCCGCTTGCTGTAGATATGGACATCATGGACATGTTGTCATCGTCATTGGAGCTGGGTAGAGGTCGGCGGATCAGGTTTCTGATCTCGCGCAAGATATCTTCGCGATAAGCGGCCGCAGCAATAGCAATGTGCTTTGCACCATGCAAGCCGGTCATGACTGGCAGCAGCTGCGCTTTCAACGTATCCGTACCAGCCAGATACGTGGGGAAGACCGCCGGCGATCTAAGGGGGTTCCCTCTCGCCTTTGGCGCTGCGTTGCTCCATCGGAGAAGGACATCGGCCGATGAGACGGATTCGACATGCTGGCGAACGTCGGATGAGAGCATCGAAGAGAATTGGGACTCGTAGGCCTTGCCGATGCGAAACCGGAGTTGGGTGAGGTCCGAGTTGACGCCTTGTAGAGCCGAAGCAGATCTGAGATCTCTCAATTGGGGCATCTCGCCTTGCTCGTTGGACTCGTCGCGCTCGCCCGCGATTAACAGTTCCAGCGAGTCGATGCTAGCCAATGCCTTCTCTACCTCACCAGCGTCAACAAGAGACTCGCAATTGGCCACGCCTTCGGTAATCAATCTCAGCTGCCAGACGGCATCGCTGAGCTGTCGGAGGTTCTCCTGCCGTCGTTGCTTCTGAACCATCATCAGGCCGTTTGCCGCCACTCTCTCATCCAGAGCTTCGAGTTCTTTTCTAAGTGCCTTGATTCGTTGTACCGAGTCCGCTGCTTCGGAATGAAGCTCTTTTAAAGATCCAAGCGCAGTGAAGAAGGTCGTCGATGCGGTCGAGATGGAGTTGATCAGGTGTATCTCAATGGTGTCCATGTACCATGAGAGCTTTTCTTGTAGAATAGCATTCGTCGCCAGTGTTTTCCGTGGCGCCACAGCGCTCCCATTGCCTTCATCTTTATGCTTCTGTATGACTTCGGATCGTTCGCTGACAACATCGAAAGTTCTAGGGTTCTCAAGATGAAAGTCTTCGTCGAAGTAGACCGCGGGGATGGTTGATAGCGGCGGAGGTCCCTGGGCAGACTTGCGACTGTGTCCTGGCGGCCTCCGCAGGGAGCTGACTGTGTCTACCGAAGTGATGGATGACAGGGATGCCGTAGAGCCTTTTCGGGGGAGACGGCCTCTGACAGCCGGTCGCAGGAGGCCTTCGCCGGCAGCTTCAGGTTGCTCATCTGGTCTACTGCCTCGTCGAAGTGCATTCTCCTCCTCCTCGCTTTCCTTCACCCTGCGAAGCTGGTCATACAGAGCGCCAATCTGGGAGAGGTACGGCGCGAACTCCTCGGGGTCAATCTGGGGTATGTTGGTCAAGGTGACGGGCGGGATGTCCCTGGCGGTGGGAGGCTTGTGGGAGCTCGAGGCTGGCGCTGAGGTGTGAGGCTGGAGGCCCGTTCGCACAATAGGGGGCTGCAGCAGCGTCGAGATGGCTATGGCGCCTCCGTCAGCTACCTAGCGTTGCCTTGATCGGGGTGCGGCTCAACATACCATTCTGCCCAGATTCGTACACAGCAGAGCCGCTGCTTAGCGACGTATCCAGAGTCCCCCCTATTGAATGTATCGAGCTGGCCGTGGAGCTCCTCCTCGAGTGCGGCCGCGCATGGCCCTGGGCTATTCGGCTGCTGCATTTGCCGTCAGCTACCGGCGGGCTCCTCCCCGCAAAGCTCTGGAAGAAATGCCCACCTGTGGAAGGGATAGTCCGCTCGGCCTGGAGGAGACAGCGGCGCAAGATTGTCGACCGATCGGCCAGCAATGGGCGAAGAATACATTGCCGGCGCAATGGATGGTGGACGATGCAGAGGAAAGGAAGCTCGGGTCGACGGTGGCTAAGCAAGCTTGGCAAGACGAAGAGCAGCGCTGCCAACGTGGATTCTGCGGGGGTTCGAATGGAGCATGAGAAGAGGCTACCGGGGTATCATCGCTTGTATCAAAGAAGAACGGAGAAAGACGGACGCTGGATTGACCAAGAACAGAGGAAGATGAAGATGCTGCGGATTGTCCATTCAGCCAGCTGGAGAGTCCAGTCACCAGTCGCATGCCATCTGTACATACAATTACGATAAGGTAAGCTGGCTATAGTACCTCTATATCTCGTACTCGTACAGCTGAGCTTCATCTGGCCCGGAGTTCTACCGAAACACACGTGATACACATGGCGAAGCAAGAAATGCGCTAGACCCTTTCCAGCTCGTGCCACGACCCTGCTGCAACCACTAAACGCGTCTTTCGCGTCTTTGCAGTTTCTTTTTCGAGCGCGTCCGATTAGTAGCCAGATTTGCCCCGCCAACTCTTTTGTACCTGATCCAAGCACGCAGCTGCTGGTTGGGTTCTGCGTCCTGACTGAAGAGCTTCAAGGGGATCTTACTCACTTCCAGGACTCACGATAGCATCATGGATCGCCAGTCCGTCTACTCGGCTCGTGTGTACGAGTCCAACTTTGGCGATGCCGACGACACCCGCCTGCAGCTGCAGTCCCAGCTCGAGACGTTCATCCTCGACTTTCGCATCGACAATAACTTCGTCTATCGGTAATGGCTCCAGCTCTCCAAGAGACGACAGAGTGATTCCGGCTGACATTATGACACAGAGACCAGCTGAAGGAGAATGCGCTGCTCAAAAAGTTCTACTGCGATGTCGACATCAAGGATCTCATCAGCTTCAACGAGGAGCTGGCACACAAGCTCGTGTCAGAGCCAGCCGAGATCATTCCCCTTGTGCGTGCTCCCTCTTGCACTCCCCCATAGGCTGACAGACAGGACTAACAATTCTGTCCATTCAGTTCGAAGCAGCATTGAAGAAATGCACGCATCGAATCGTGTATCCCCACGAAAAAACCGTCCATCTCCCCGACCACCAGCTTCTCCTACACTCCGATGCGGACGACGTATCCATCCGCAACCTCGATTCCATGACAATAGCCCGAATGGTTCGCGTGCCAGGAATTGTCATTGGAGCTTCAGTCATGTCTTCCAAAGCCACCGAGCTGCATATTCAGTGCAGGAACTGCAGCCATTCCCAGGCGCTCCCCATCCTTGGCGGTTTCACAGGCGTCACCCTGCCCAGGCAATGCGCGCGGAAACGCATTCCCCACGATCCCACACCACAGTGCCCGCTGGATCCATACTTTGTCGTTCATGAAAAGTGTCGATTCGTTGACCAGCAGGTTATCAAGCTCCAAGAGGCACCGGACCAGGTCCCTGTGGGAGAGCTGCCTCGGCATGTACTCATCACCGCTGACAGATATCTCACAAATCGAGTAGTCCCGGGCTCTAGGTGCACTGTGATGGGCATCTTTTCCATTTACCAGAACAAGGCGTCCAAAAACTCCAACACGGGAGGCGCAGTTGCTATTCGAACGCCATACCTGCGAGCCGTGGGCATCCAAACCGACATTGACCAGGCTGCCAAGGGAAACGCCACATTCACAGAAGAGGAGGAGCAGGAATTTCTGGAGCTGAGCAGACGGCCGGACCTGTACAACATCATGGCGGATTGCATTGCGCCGTCCATCTACGGAAATCGAGACATCAAGAAGGCCATCCTGTGTCTGTTGCTCGGTGGATCAAAGAAGATTCTGCCTGACGGCATGAGATTAAGAGGCGACATCAATGTGCTGCTTCTTGGTGACCCTGGTACCGCCAAGTCGCAATTGCTCAAGTTCGTCGAGAAGGCAGCCCCTATTTCCATCTACACCTCTGGAAAGGGCTCATCAGCGGCTGGTCTGACGGCCTCTGTTCAACGAGATCACTCGACAAGAGAGTTTTATCTGGAAGGCGGTGCCATGGTGCTCGCCGACGGAGGTGTCGTGTGCATTGATGAGTTTGACAAGATGCGAGACGAGGACCGAGTGGCCATCCACGAAGCCATGGAACAGCAGACGATATCGATTGCCAAGGCTGGTATCACAACCATTCTCAATGCCAGGACATCTGTGCTTGCCGCCGCCAACCCCATTTTCGGACGCTACGACGATATGAAGACGCCCGGCGAGAATATCGACTTCCAGACAACGATCCTGTCTCGGTTCGATATGATCTTCATCGTCAAGGATGAGCACACGCGAGAAAAGGATGAGAGGATGGCGAAGCACGTCATGGGCATTCACATGGATGGCCGTGGTGCTGAGGACGTGGCCGAGTCTGAGATTCCCATCCAGAAGATGCGACGGTACATTACCTACTGCAAAACGTGAGTTCCCCCTCCCCCTTCCTTGTCTTTGCCTTCTGCTAACATGCCACCTCAGGCGATGCGCACCTCGACTTAGTCCCGAGGCCGCCGAGAAGCTGTCGTCTCATTTCGTCTCCATCCGACGACAAGTCCACGCCGCCGAGATTGAAGCCAACACAAGATCCTCCATCCCTATTACAGTCCGTCAACTCGAAGCCATTGTCCGAATCACAGAATCACTCGCCAAATTGACCCTATCCCCCATTGCCACTGAAGCACATGTCGACGAGGCCATCCGTCTCTTCCTGTGCTCGACCATGGACGCAGTCAACCAAGGCAGCAACCAAGGTAGCCGCGAAATGAACGACGAGGTGAGCCGCCTCGAAGCCGAGCTCAAGCGGCGGTTGCCCATCGGATGGAGTACCAGCTTGGCTACACTACGGAGGGAGATGGTGGAAGGCAAGGGCTACTCCGAGCAGGCGTTGAATCGCGCACTGATGCTGCTGCAACGGAGGGATACAATCATGTTTAGAAACCAGGGAGCACAGGTTTACCGCAACGGAGCTTAAAAGGGGGTGGGATTTATACTATCGTCTGTATTGAACAATTTGCGTCATGATGTTTTACGTTATACACGTGGCGGTGTAAAGTTAAGAAACCGCCGTAACTGGAAACTGGATAGAAAACTCAAGAGGTTATGGAATTGTTTTCGTTGGTCATCCGTTGGTCATCAGCCCCGGCATGCTTGTTGCCGCCTGAACTTGTCCGAATTGCTGATGAGTTTCTGTACTTAGCGCGGATCCTTCCTTTTGACTCATCCCGCTTCACCTTGTCCCCCTCTGCAACCTCATCTGTGAACCACGTCGTATCAGCCTCTTGACAAAACTATATAAACCCCCAATTCTCGCCCCCCCTCACAAACTCTCAAAACTGTCTCTCCAAACCCATCAATGTCCATAGCCAAGTAACCATAAAAAAGATATATTTCTCGCCATCTCACCAAAATCTCACCCAATGACAGCAAAGATGCCCCCCAGCAGAACCCTCTCCTCCCCCTCCCTCCCCAGCAACAGCCCCGGCACCGTCCTCCTCGAAACAAAGCGCCTCATCATCCGCCGCTGGGACCCCTCCAAAGACGCCCCCGCCCTCGCCCAGGCCGCAAACCACCCGGCCATCACGCTCAACCTGCGCGACCGCTTCCCCATGCCCTACACCCTGGCCGACGCCGAGCACTACCTCAACAACTACGCCGTCTCTCCCGAGGGATATCCCAGCGCCCTAGCCATCCTCCTCAAACAACAACAGACCCCACCAAACTCCTCCGACCTCTCATCACCATCGTCTCCCGAGTCAACGGAGCCCCCCCTCGTCATAGGCGGCGTGAGCCTCGACCCAAAAGGCGACGTCTACTACCGCACCTGGGAGCTCGGCTACTGGCTCACCCCGTCCGCCTGGGGCAAGGGCTACGCCACCGAGCTCGTCGGCGCGCTCGTCGTCTGGTGCTTCGCGACCTGGCCCCGGCTCAACCGCATCGAGGCCGTGGCGTACGGGCGCAACGAGGCCAGCAAGGCCGTCCTCAGGAAGTGCGGCTTCACGCTCGAGGGCGTCAGGAGGGCCGCGGTGGAGAAGAATGGCGAGGTGCTGGATGAGTCTGTCTGGGGCATCTTGAGGACTGACATTGAGGAGTTGTTGGAGCCTTCTTCGCTGGGGAACTGATTGGAAAAAGCGTTTGACATGATAGACGCTGACTAGATGGTTCGTGGTATGCGGATTACTTTAGTGAGGATAAAGGGGAGAAACAGACAAGAGAAGGCAAGGGCAGATGATGTTCAGGGATTGTGGAAGACGCAAGGCACGAGTCTTCGAATGGACCATCGCCTGTTGAGTGGCATACAGCTTTGGCGCACATGCTCAGGATGAAAAGGACATCAGATTCAGTATGGGTGTCATTGCCATCGATTGCTCCATAAAGTCTATAGAAATGCTAGAGATCCGATAGAAGGCTACCCCCATGTTCCAATACCCATCAGCATCAGAAAGAGGTTGCGCCCAAGTACAAGGAAAGAGTAGAAAACAAGGTCATACAAGAAAAAGAGTAGACGCTTTCTCATTTTTGCGGGCAAACGCCGTAAGATGCTCATTAAATTCCAGTAGCCGGCTTCTGCGGCAGTGAGGCGGGGTTCCCGTATGTAGGTAAGTGACTACTACTAAACATTTGATTTGGTCCCTGAGGGATGTTTGCTCGTCCCAGAGCATGTGCCTGCTGACTCTGGGGTAGATGCTGGGGTGGTGGTATATGTTGCAGGCTTTGCATCATGGGCTGGGCGTGGTGGGCGACAAGGGTTGGCGGAGTGTGGTATGCGGCAATGGAGCTGTTCGAGCCCTGCCGAGCCATGTTATACCCACCGGCGTACGGATGAGGAGGCATCGCCGGTGGATAGCCACCGTATGCCAGATGGGGAGTCCCGATTTGAGGGCTGCTGTGGTGAGAGCCCGGCGCCGTGAAGGGCGGATGAGGGGGCTGCAGCGGTGGCGGTGGCATCCCGTTCGATCCCGGCACGAAAGACTGAGTCTTTGGGTTGAAAGCGTGGTTCCTGTTGTAGCTTCCAGGGATTGGGTGCTGGCTCTTGGGATCATGCGGGTTGGTGTTGGCTGGCAGTTGGCCGAATGGGTAGGGAATTCCGTTCTGTGAATGAGGGCCGCTGGGCGTAGGGCCCCGGGGCGGGTAAGGCGCTGGACTGAAGCCGGGTTGCCAGTTCTGCGAAGGGGGGACGCCCGGTAGGATCGGCGAGCCATACGCTGTCATTGGACTTGCGTTGGGAGGGTATCGTTGCTGAACAGGCTGTGGCGCATACTGCTGGTACTCGAATGTTAGTCTCTCCAGGCTACCTGATAGTGTCGGACGAGGGACTGAGAGCAAGCACAACATACCTGAGGAGGAACCTGATACTGTGGAGCTGCATTCGATGCCATTCCTTGCACAGCGGGATACGCGGGTTGCTGGCCATACATGGGCGCCACCTGAGCAGGATAAGACGGGGCGGGCTGAGGAGTAAACTGCGCGCTGGCTTGGGGAATATACTGGTTAGGTGCTTGAGATACCCATGTCTGTTGTTGCTGAGAGCCCCAGTAAGGCGTGTATTGGCGTCTGGAGTCGAACCCATCGGCATCATCATCACGTCGCTGCTTGATAGGTGTCTTTCCCTTTTTACTGGTAGAGGACCTATTGGCGGAAACCGAGCTGGTCCGGGATATGCCAGCCTCGCCGTCGACTTCTAATGCAATCAATCAGTTTCCAATCCTCGAATTTGTCATTTCAGAGGCAATCATTGCTCACCGGATGTTGTGTCTTCGGTGCTTCCAAAGATTCGCTGCCTGACCACCTTGTACATCTCTTCTCGCTCTTCTCGGGACAATCTGGAAAGAAGCATTAGCAAACTCTCTCATCCTCGTGGCTATGTAAGTGAAGATGTACTTTTGAGCTGCTAGCGGCTGCTTGTCCTTGGATTCGCTTCCAATCTCCGAAGTGGCCTTTGAAGCCCCTGTGCTAGCAGCGCCGCCCTCTTCATCCTGTCCACGGCGCATGATCTTCCTGGGAAGAACAGCTGCAGGAGGAGTGCTGCCGACCACAACAGTTGTTTGGGGGACCATTGTGGCCAAAGAGGGCGGTACTCGGCAAAAGGGGGTCCTGAAGATGCGAACAGCACCAAGATTTCGCTCGTAAGAATGCGTCATATGGTAGTAGTCCGCCAACTTGTGGGTTAACATTCTACAAAACGAGTTCGACGGAGGAAGATCAATGTATGGCTCCCTGTAAGAGTGGTCAGCTGTGAACCTCGTGTGGAAGGGAGCTGTCAATCGGGCACGTCGCATACTTGGAATCCTGTACAAAATCAATGACATCTTTCTCCAACCTGAGGAGGAAGAGTCGGTCTCTTGGAGCCGCCAAGGCCTCCAGAAGCTTCTCATCGGGAGCTTGTCTGTAGATAACATTCAAGGCATCCGATGATCCGCCTGTACTCCTCAGTGAATCCTGAGGAGGCTGCTCGGACGACGTGCTTTGGGGGGTTAGGATGCCTTGCCCGTGAGCTTCGACCACCGGTTGCACCAATTGCCGCTCCGGCATATCGCCCAGCTGAATGCCTCTTGCTCTGGCGGCGAAATCTGAACTCATCCGAGATCCAGCAATCAGAGACCCCCGAATGGAGAAAGAGTCATCATCCTCAGCAGCAGCCTTGACACTAGCGCTGTCATCGGGACGGAGAGACTCCTTCTCATCGAGAGCAAAAGTGGTACCGGAAGTGATGCTTTTCCCATCTAAACTAGGAGGTTTGGTCCCCAGCTCCGAGCTGGAATCAGCCCTTTGAGAATCGTCCGAGCCGCTAGCCCTGCTAAAGACCAGAGATCGGACGCCAGCAGACGAGTTGACGTTTTGAGCCCCGGCAACCCCATGATCAGCACCTTCAGTTTTCCTGGCAGCGATCTTGGCCAAATCTTTGGCTACGTCTTCTCCAGAAGCAGCATGAGCCGACGAGCCGGGCGACTGAGAGGAGGAGACTGGCGGCGACGGAGACTCTGTGGGTTTGCTAGTCGCAGATGCTGAACTTGCAGGTAGGTGGTTCTTGGACTGCATCGTCGGTTGGCTTGCGGACGGATTCGAGGGATTTTCTGATGATTTATGCCCCTGCCTGAGATTTGTTGAAGACGCGACCGTCTCCCCAGCATCCAATTTCGTCGGCCATACGTCGTTCAAGGATGACGGTGCCAGATCCCCAGGGAGAGCGTCAGGATGGTCCTTGAGAAGTTTCGCAAACTCTTCCGTTAACTGCTCATCAGACCAAGCATGGACTGGCTTAGACGATCGCGCAGAGGAGGTCTGGTGCGGCGGAGACTCGGTGGGCTTGCTAGCCAGTGATGTTGTATTGCCGGCTGACTGGTCCTTTGACTGCATTGTCGATCGGCTTGTGGATGGGGCTGAGGAGTCTTCTGTCGCTACAGACGCAGCTATCTGCATGCATGGAGGGATATCGGTCAGTCGCCAGGACGTTGCCCAGTTCCCATGACAAACGGTGTCTGGGAATACGAAGCACGGCGCGGAAGCAAACTTACAGCTGCAAACGAGCGTTTGGGTGGATCAGAAGAGATTGTCGCCATGGCGATGGGTGTTGGCAGCCTCGAGACCGCTTATTCGAAGCCAATGGTTGATGTACAACAGGGCGGACAACAAGGCTGAGAAAGAATGCACTTCTCGACGACTTGACGCCGCAATCCAAAAGGCGCCCGACGGGTGACGGAGATGAAGGGAGAGCGGGCGAAAAAGACCGTAGGCAAGAACAAAGATCAAGAAGCAGAATCGACGGGAACGAGCCAGGAGATGAAGAACAGGGTGCAGGTGCTCATTGTCGTCGTAGGAAGAACATTGCTGGCGGCAGCTGGTTCAATCAATGTCTTGGCGGACGGGCAAGGCGAAACGAGCCGAGTTGAAGCCTTCTCTCAGCGTCGGTCGACGGGCCGAAGAGGCGGACTGGCGGGTTGGATTCACGTCGCAGCCTGGAGCAAGAGTCAGTCAATCAGCCTGCTGCGCGCAAAGAGGGCATCGGCCCATTGGTGGTGTTCCAGGACGCTCTCTCTTGTGGAGGGGTGTTCCAATGACATGGGAAGCGTATCCCTGAGAGGGGTGGCCTGTGGCTTCGCTGGGCTTTTCCGGGGCAGCGAGGACTCACGAGCAGCGGTTGGTGGCTTCCCCAGAGCCGGTGGCACAAGGCTTGTCTTGACGAGCAGCACGCAGATGCGCAGTTCAGGCCGATGTCATCGCGGTGGGAGGACGACGGGGCTCTGGAGGAGAATCTGCAGTTACAAATCTCGAGAGGGAGCTCAGAATGTCTTAGTGCCGATAGAGCGACAGAGACGGGAGAGCGCCGGAAAGTGTGTGTGGCTTATGTAAGGCAGTCGCTGAGCGCTGGAGGCTGGAGGCTGAGATGGTGCCTGAAAATGGCACGTCGGCGGCGGGATTCTGCACCTGGTAGCTGGTTCCATGGCTTGGACAAAATGAGGCACTCAAAGTCTACTAAAGATCCAACTCATGTGATAAAATCCCATCATGATGCTCACTAGGTATCAACTACCATTAATTAGCGTCGTATCAACTGGCTACATGCGTTGCCTCTCTGTCTGGTTTCTTCAAGGCTCTTCTTCGCAACCCAACCGTGCGAGGGATGGATGCACCTCTACCTTACCAGGTGGAAATCCAAAATCAACACCGGATCGGTCACGTGCGACTTGCGGTCCGAGGCTGCACTGGCTTCTGGCCCGTCGTTTTAGGCTCGCCCGCTGTAGTAATGCCCTGTAAATCCCGTCTGTACCTCAAATAACTGCGGACCCAAAGCGCCAGGGCAGGGTGACTTTGGCCGTCCGAAGTACTTCTACTACCCAATTCGTACCTGGATCAAGCTCCAGCGCCAACTCAGATCCAGCCTCAGACATGCCGGCATCGCCACCTGAGCACTTCTCATCCTCCCTGAAACGCCTGGTTTCGCGTCAACAAAGACGACCATTTGCCTTCTCAGAACCCTTCGCGATCTTGTCATTTCGGAATCCATCATGTTCGCTCACCGAGGCCGTGGAGGACCCAGTCGGTCGACTCCGGCCAATGTCCAGTGTCAGAAATGCTTAAAACGAGATATGTACCTTACCATGAAGATGCTCCAGCTTGATACGTCCATGAGAACTCGTCGACTGACTCACTTAGCACGGCATTACTCATATGAGTGCAAAGCGTCGGCGCAAGAACGGCCATATGTCTCCCGCCCGTCGCGTTCACAGCAGCTCCGCAACCCCAACCTCGTCCCCAAGCTGACGAGCGATACTCCAAACCCCCTGGAGAAGAAGTGAGCAGCATGCAGATCCGTTAGGCGAGGCCCAAGAAGTAGTAACTGACATCGTCACAGGAAGGGAATTGCGGATGAAGAGCTCGCCAAGCTAGAGGCTGAGCGAGAGAGGAAGCGAAAGCTTGAAGAGCGCGAAGACGAGCTGTCAGACGCAGGCTCTAGACGCCGGAGATCAGTGTCTTCGCATTCAGTATCAACCATCTCAACAAATGCCTCTAGGGACTCTCGCTCCCCGCCACCTAGGCGAAGAACTAGGTCTCCCACGCCCAAGCGACGTCATGATAGCCCAGAGTCATCCGGTGACCGCAGTTACAGCCGAAGTCCATCACCGCCACGACGGGAGCGGCGTTCAGTATCACGCGACAGTCTGTCTCCTTCGCGCGAAGGCTCCCAGCGAGGCGAGAGAAGACAGAGACAATCTTCTTATGGCCGAAGAGACGATGTCTCACCCTCGCGGCAACGGTGGCCGCGTGACGAGGAGCCAGAACGACGACATGGCAGGCGGCAGAACAGGGGAGATTCACGATCGAGGTCACCACAGCAGGATGACCGGTCTTATCGAAGGCGGGACGATTACAACGTCCCGCGCGGTGGCCGGCGTGGCGGCCGTCATGAAGGGCATGGAAGAGCACCACCGCCCAGAGAGGTCCACAGAGAGGCTCCCAAGGAGGCGCCCCGGGAGCGAAGCCTGAGCCCCTTTAGCAAACGATTAGCACTGACCCAGTCTATGAATATGGGTGGAAGATGAAGGTGATCTGGGTATCTTATTCTGGCCGTGTGTAGAGATATAGGCCGTAATGTCTAAAGAAAGGGAAACCAAAAACTCCAGCCCATGCAATGGCAAGCGCAAATATCGCAGTGATTACATACAGCACCTCCAAATTTCTTTCCATCTCTTGCCCCCTTCACAGACCCAATGCCTCCTCTTCCTTGCGCTCTCTCTCCTCTTCCTCCCTTTCCTCTTCTTCGCGAACCCTGAGCCCCTCCACAAGCGCGACACCATCCACACCAGCAGCATCTCCATCGAGGTTGTCATTGTCGACGTCCGTCTTCTTCTGGGCAGCCTTTTGCGCATTCTGCACCCGGTCCCTCACCAGCTTCGCAATGGCATTATCCGTCCGCACGTTGAGCAGTTCCATCTTCTTCTCGAGATTCCGCTTCAGATCCCAGTTCGGCTTCTTGGGCTGCAGCTTGAAGAGATCCAGGCCCTTGTCGTCCCGCGCCTCCTCGGCCGCCTTTTCCCTGATCTCTGCTTCGACCTCTGCGGCCTGCTCCTCCAGCGTGGGCTTGTCCATGGCGAGCGTCGGCGGCGCGTCGAAGCCGAGCTTGGGTCCTCTCGTCTCGGGGTCATAGTTGCGGCCGGACAGGTGCAGCGTCGCAGGGTCGTTTGCTGCTGGCGATGCGTCTCTGTCGCCTTCTGGCGTGGCGACCTCGTCGACGGGCTGTTTCCGCTTGAGGGTCTTGAGCTTTGCGAGACGCGCCTTGCGCTCGTCTGCGGCGGCGCTGAGGCTGTTGTGGGAGTTCATCGTTGTGGCGGAATGGAGGCAACGCGAGATGCTTGTGTAGGTATGTCTGTTTCAATGCCAGACTGGCGATGCTCGTCGCGAATCGTCAAGGTATGGAAAAGCGAATTGAGCTTGGTGGGGCACCTGAGGTACAGTGGAAGTGGGTTTTGTTAGCGGCCAAGCCGACTGGGGGAGTCGATTGGTGTGCCGAAATTATTTCTCTGCGACAAGTCTCAACAGCCTCAACTAACACTGAACTTGCAATCATCACCAGGATCAACCGCCCCGAGCAGCCACGAGTCGCAGAAGAGCACCATGCAGACTGCTGGCCGTGTGCCGGCCCCTGTTCCATCGCAATGCCAGCGGCACCCATCGCCCGCGCCGGCTCCCTGAAGCTCAGGTGCTTGACGATGTCTTCCACAGCCGGCCTTCCTCTTCGATCGAGGCTTCACTTCACCCCGAGACCTTTGTTACGACGGCTGGGCTCTGTAGCGCAGAGCACACCACTGGCAACCGGCTCGCCTTTCGAAAACGGCGCTTCCCCTCCGAAAACGCAACATCTCGCCTCTACTCTACACTCACCAGAAGCGATTAGGGCATCTATCGACCCCACGACAAGCCTCGATCACGACGACAGCCGCAACCGCTCAGAGAATTCTCGTTCGGAACCCCATGCTGCCCGATCAAGGACACAAGCTTTGCAGCAAGAGAAGCTGGCCTCGAAGCATGGACGTTCGAAACAAGAGTCATATTCCGCTCCGAAACGGCCTGGTTTTGTTGGAAAGAGACGTTATATGATCACGCATGGCAGATTGAACCGCTCTCCTGTACACGCTGTGCAGCCCGCCAACCGATTTTCCGCCGTGGACGAAACCTCTTCGAAATTAGATGAGGCGGCGCAAAGAGCTTACAAAGAGTCAAAGAATCTGCGAGAGATGCATTCGCAATGGGGCTACCTTCGACATCGGTACTCTGATGACCAACGCCAATCTGCCCGGAAGATGTTCACATTCTGGAAGACCAAGTTTTTGCAAGTTTCCAGGCCAGACAAGCCTCCGGAGCCAAAGTTGCCGTGGCCATGGCGCGACTGTGCGAAGTGGCTCTTCGAGCTGAACAATGCCAAGAGCATGCAAAAGGCATGGGAAGCCCTCGAAGTCGAAAGTCGCCAGAAGCAGTGGCCCCATGTTATGCTCTCAACGCTTGATCGCTGTCCAGACAAAGCACACATGGTGCTGGAAGCTACGCTGGATCCGCTACCGCCTGGGTATGCTATCAACGATGTGCTTCTCTTCATTGCGCAACGCTTGCGCATCAGCAGCATCAAGAACTCGCGTGAGAGGGCTCTCAAGGCAGACGAAATGCTGGAATTGGTGGCCAAAGTTCTCGAGGATGCGCCTGCCAACCATGTACCCCTTGGTCAGCGAACAGTCGGCCTCCTTGCCCGCAGACTGCCAAGCGAGCAGACCAGCGAACTCTACAAGATGCTACAGAGGGCCAACATCAAACTACATCCGAACTCGCTGCTGCAATTCGCGGGCAAATTAGCCGGCGACATGGCGCATAAAGAGACGGCATTTGAGATCCTAAAGGGGCTCGCCGACAGTGGAGTGGATCTCAACGCGCCCAGTCCCTCCAGCGCCATTACTACTCTGCTGCATTGCCGGATTGCTCACGGTGGCTGGTCAGACAGCACCTCATCCTTCTCGCCCAAGGACACTCTTGAATACTTCATGGACCGGGGCTTCGTGCCCAACGTCATCAATGCCACCGCCTTTCTGGATTCCCTCTGTCAACGGGCCGAAGTTGAAGAGGCGATACGGCTGGCGTTGCTGTTTTCCGAGTCTGGAGTCCAGCTCGATACAAAGGCGTGGTCCACCATCTTCAGGGGCGCCAAGGGGAGCCTCAAGGTTGAGAACGTGGCAAAGAGCCTGGATGTTGCCAAAGCGGCCAATGCGCCCTACGTGGATGTGCTCAACAATACTCTCCACGCCATCTTCTATTTTGCAGAAATGGAATCCCGTGAAAAGAGGTTCTCTGCCCCGTGGATCTATCCCTTGTTCGGCCCAATGCTGCGAGTGTACGCAAAGAAGTTTGAGCTGGAGCCACTGCAATGGTGGCTGCCCGACTCGCTGCCTCTGATGCTGACGCAGACAACGGGCAACGACGGCGAAAAGTTTGAGAGCTCTCGGCCACGGCAATGGGACTTTTTGGGGAGCATTGTCCCTCTCACCGAGAAGACGTTTGCAGCTCAGAGTAGCGGGCCGAAGTTGCAGCCAAACACAACAACAATAGCCATCATGCTGCGGGCTTACATCAAGACCCTTCAGCACCCCTATGACCTCATGGCCTTCTATGCCTTTTTCAAGGCTCGGCTTGAAGAGCAAGCCGGGAAAGAAGGCGTTGCCGCTCAGCTCATCAAAGACCAAGGCAGCCTGGTCCACGATACCATCATCATGGCTATGACGGAAAGACGAGGACTATCACGGCCTGCGTTGCAGATCTTTGGAGACATGCTAAAGGATCACCTGCAAAGAAACAACATCGAAGATGCGACGATCGGCAACGAGACGCCGGACAAGAGCCAAAGCCGTGCCACAGCCCCGGTTCATCCTGCGCCTAGTTTGTGCACCTTCAGCATCCTGGTGCGAGGTCTACTCAACAGCGGCGACCGGATTCTGGCAGAGCAAGTCCTGCATGTGATGAAGGAGCAGGGCGTCGAGCCAAATCTCGTGACGTGGAACACCCTAACAAAGGGCTACGCGTCGATGCAGAATATCAAAAAGACGGTCTCTACACTGCAGGATATGGAGGCCGCAGGTTTCAAACCTGACATGTTTACCTTCAAGGCGTTTGGCAAGCTCAAGAACCAGGCACGGGCGTTGGAGCTGATGGAAGGCATCATTGACGTGAACAGACAAAAGATGGTGGACGTGGACTTGTATGGATAGTGTTGATGCGGACTGTACACTTTCTCATTTTGGCATTTTCATGCTTGGGCTTGGGACATCTTTCTTGTTTGGATACGTGTATTACGGCGAAACGATATGATACCATAGAGTACGGAGTAGACGGGCGGCTATTAGAGGCTTCTGGTGTTGGCGACGATCAACGGATAGAACATGCATGTACAACTCGCTTACTGGATAAGAGGCATAAAGAAGGCTATCAGTGACTCCTCATCTTATTTGTTTGTGCCAGTTATATAGCTATCTCATCATGTTGCTTTTGTCTCGGGTCAGGCGCTGTAGGTTGTCGAAGCCAGCCCATCTTTCAGAGTCTCGGACTTAGGACTTTACTGCTTGCTAGGACATGCTCACTTTCAACTTCCAGGTTGTCAATCCTGCAACACACCTCCAGGTTCTTCAAAGGAGTCAATCTGCTCTCATTTTCTTCATTGAATTACGATCTCACTTGTTGAGATCGTGAAAAGAAGTGCACATCCGTCTCACTATCTTATGAGGCCATCGCCACCACTTTTCACAACACCTGATCAACCTCCGCCAGCCCATCATCACAACCAGAACCCTTCCCAACTCCAACAAATCTCACTACAGCAAGTTTCAAGAGAAATCCATATAGCCCTTGAATGATGCCCGCCGAACCAGGCATCGCGCAATTCACCTCCGTCTTCCGCGCCTCCGACGCCCACCGCATCAAGCGCTGCCGCCACACCGTCTCCTGCACGGCCTGCCAGCGGCGCAAGTCGCGATGCGACCGCCAGCACCCGTGCGGCGCCTGCGAGAAGCGCGGCTGCGGCGAGTCGTGCTCGTACGGGGCCAACGCGGCCTCGTCATCGGCGGCGGTGTCTGATAGGGACAGCAGGGGAAGGGTAGGTG